AGAGGCATTAAGAGTCGTATTGACAGTGATTATGAAAAATCATGTTTTCACATTTGATAACGAGATCAGAAAGCAAATAAGAGGTGGTCCAATTGGCCTTAAATTAACCGGGGTACTGGCCCAGATTTTCATGATTTGGTGGGATGAAAAATTTGCAACAAGGCTGAATGAATTGGCCATCGTTATGAAAATGAACAAACGGTACGTGGATGACATCAACATGGCTGTGCAAGCAACACCAGTTGGGATGAGGTACAAGGATGGAAAAACTCACATGGATGAGAGATCCGTAGCTGAGGATCAAGGAATCAGTGACGATGAGAGGACTATGACATTGATAAAACAGATAGGAAACGACATACACCCGTCAATACAACTCGAAATAGATTACCCCTCTAAACACCAGGACGGAAAGCTACCTATCCTTGACTTGAAGGTGTGGATGGAAACAAAAGGGGAAGAGACAGACAGGCAGGACGAGAAAGCCTCAGCCTCAGTGATCATGTATGAGTTTTATTCCAAGAGCATGGCTTCTAAGACAGTCATACATGCTAGGTCTGCCGTAAGCTGGAGTACAAAGAGAACAGTCCTGACCCAAGAAGTCCTTCGGGTCTTACTTAACTGTAGCAGATTGTTACCATGGGAACGAGTAGTAGAGAATGTTAACGAGATGGTCCTGAGAATGCAATACTCGGGGTACAGCAAGAAATTCAGATATGAGGTTGTAGATTCGGCCCTCAAAGCTTTTAGAGCGAGACAAAGAGCTGAGCGAAAAGGAGAAAGACCGTTACATCGACCCAAGGAGTGGAGAAAGGTGGAACGAGAAAAGGAAAAGAGCGAAAGGAAATCCAACTGGTACAAACGCGGCGGGAATGAATCAGTAATTTTTGTACCAGCTACGCCCAACTCACGGTTACGGAAGGAATACCAGACAGAAATAAAGCAGCAAGGTTTCAATATTAAAGTGGTGGAGAAAGCCGGAATCGCCATTAAACGACTACTCCAAAAGTCCGACCCATTTAAACCGCGACAGTGTGGACGAGAAGACTGCCCAGTGTGTAGCACAGGTGGAAAAGGACCGTGTGATAGAGAAAGTGTGACGTATGAGATTAAGTGTATCCAGTGTAACAGCGTATACGTAGGGGAAACAGCCAGGAGCGCGTATACCAGAGGGAAAGAGCATACGAAATCACTTAACAATAAGGAAGAACGATCTGCATTGTGGAAACACTGTAAAGAGAAACACAATAGAGAGGTAAAGCAGTTCCGAATGGATGTGACGGGGGTTTATCACAATGACGCGATGCTGAGACAAATAACTGAAGGAGTGAGGATAAATAATGTGAACGAAGACTCGCTTATGAACTCCAAGAACGAATGGAACTTTTTTCAAATCCCACGAGCTGTGATTGATACATCATGACCGCTTACATGAAGCCTGGAAGAAGTGTGGACATTTCAGAGTCACTTATATGAACAATTATTTATGAGTATTTTAAACATGGCGGAGTACTACTGATGAGGATCGTAATTGATCGAAATCGATTTGGAATTCCGCTACATTTTTACAAGTGACTTTTTATATACCATTTTACACGTTTTTACAATTCTTGTATTCGTTTTATAGTAGTTTTTAGTGCGTCGAACGTGACTACGAGACGTTATGTCTAGCAAACTGACTCAATTATCGAACACGTTCCTGGCCTCGGCCCACAAAATTTCATCACAAGATACTATTTTTAGTTACGGTGAATGAGCTTACTCCAACCAATTTATTCTGGAAGTACGTTGATGACCTAACCATTGCTGAAGTTCTACCTCGAGAAGGTTCATGAACTATCCAAACCACCCTGGATGATATATCCACTTGGTGTTCTTCAAATTACATGAAATTGAACCCAAAAAAGTGCAAAGAACTCAGAATATGCTTCCTACGTAACCCTCCCACTCTATTACGGTTGACTATTAATAACACCTCAATCGAAGTAGTAGAAACTCACAAGCTCCTAGGAGTGCTCATTCAGGATGATCTAAAATGGCGTAGTCACATTCTTAGCATTACAAAGAAAGCTGCTCAGCGACTTTATATCCTTCGTGTCCTGCGCCGCAATGGCCTACCATCCAAGGATTTACTTAGTGTCTATACTGCTCTAATACGTTCTGTTTTGGAGTACGCATGCCCGGTATGGCATTCCAGCCTTCCATCTTACCTTGTGGACAATTTAGAACAGATACAAAGAAGAGCTTTCAGGATAATCGAACCACTAATTTCTTAAAGAACTGAATGTAATGTTTTGAATTACCCCACACTGGAAGAAAATAGGGAACATCTTTGCCTCGAACAGTTCAAGGAAATTAAAAACTCACAGTTGTCATCATTAATTCCACAGAAAAGACTAGACGCTCACGGCCGCCAGCTGCGCTCCAGCAATATCTTGACTCTTTTTAAATGTAGGACAAAACGATTTCAAATAAGTTTTTTTCCCGCAATGACGTCAAAGCTTAATGAATTATCGCAATAGACTTATATCACATTTGTAATAATTTATCAATAGAATCTTGTGAGCCGGTAACCCAGTCCCCCGGCAAAAGTTTTAATTATATAGTCTCATTTAATTTGTAAATATTTTTTGTAATTGCTTGTAAATATGAAGTATTTCATTTTAGTGCCGAATTCATATCTAATAAACCATTACCACTGCATTTTTATCTAACGGCACATCTGAAGTGATGGGCTATGTCATTTGCAGATCTTTCGCTCTTTTTTACCTAATTATAATGAGCTTTATCCACCTAAAACAATGATTTAAAAAAATACCATGATACGTTTAATAATGATGTATTTTGAAAATCACAAATGAGGTTAGATGATTGTTTACTCCTGTTTCGTATATTTAAAACAAGACCTAACTTCCTGAAGCCACGTGTTTCACAGTACAATGTTCTGTTTTTGCGAAGTTGTCGATTTCAGTAAAATCTCATTTTGAATTACAAGCTCCCTTAAATTTGACCGCATAACCCCTATTTTAGTCGACCTGCACTGGCTTCCAGTTTCCGAGCGAACTTAATTCAAAATATATGTATTTCATATGTTTGTTGTTAAATTCAAAATAATTCTGCTCACCCACAAAGCTCTTCACCAGCAGTCTCCTATCTACATTCAAGACCTGATACGTCGTTCTTCACCTTCAAGAACGCTCCGGTCATCTTCAACATTACGCCTGTCTCCTGTCAACTTTAATCTCAAGTTCTACGGCTCTAGATCTTTTTCTGTTTCGGCTCCTGAACTGTGGAACAAACTACCTGATGAAATTTGTTCTTGTGACAATTTCAATCTCTTTAAACGTAAACTTAAGACTTATCTTTTTAAAAATTATTTTAACATGTATGAATTCTCTTCTTATCCATGTCTAGCGCCTAGATCTTAGACACCCGCTTTTTGTGAATATTTAAATCTCTGTTAACGTAAACTTAAAGACTTACTATCAAAAATTAATTTAAAATGTATATCTCTATTTTGTAAAGCGCTTAGATCAGGTCTGGATAAGCGCTATATAAGTAGCTCTATTATTATTATTATTATTATTATTATTATTATTATTATTATTATTATTATTATTATTATTATCAATTAGCGTTGTTCCGGCCACGTCAGAATTACGTTTCTGAACAGCAAAATTCCGCTTACATTTGGTTCGTGGTTCGGTTAAAGACTAACATTTAAGTAAAGAGCTCTTATGTGAAATAATTACAGCCTCTTTTTCAACGAAATGGGAATAGAGAAACCTCAAATCAAAAACCCCGAGATGTGCTTTGTGAACAATCATTATCAGGAGGCACTGACTATCCTTCCAAGTAATATCGCTATTGTGAGGGAGAAGCAACAATATTAGGACTGCAATCCTCCGAAACATGGAAGGTAAGAGCTTATTATATTAAATAAGCAGTAGATTGGACGTAAAATGCGAAAAAATTGAGTTTGCGTGAGTATGTGTACATTTTTGACTAATTGACGACACCGTCGAATCGGTGCATTTTATCCAACTTTAAAAATTGATTAAATCGCCCAGAATTATTTCTTCGAAAAAATCCTTTGGAGATCTAAAAGAACTACTTTCTGCCTTCCGAAACCCAGATTTCCGGTTAATTATCTTGTATAGCACATAGTTAAATTACGGGCTACTTTTGACCTATTTTTAATCTAGTTGAAAGTAGGTCTGATAAATTCAATTAGATTGTGTAAATAAATGGTAACAAATTGCTCAAATGGCAATCAACATATGTTTTGATGTTGTTTTTCAAGATTTGGTAATTTTTATCAATCCAGGTTTTTTCATTTTGTGACGCGCGCTCTGAGATGTGTCTGAAATTTTGAGCCTCAAAAGCCACATTTTGGCAGAATTTAGTTATTATTGATTTTCTCCAAAATAAATCGATATTCAGCCAAACGAAGTATGCAGTGGTTTATTTCCATCGAGACCTACTTCACTTTGAAATATGGGCGAAATTGGAATTCAGCAGTGGTCAGCAAATGTTTGACCATTGGTAACATTCGCTCTTAAGAATCCTCCAGAAGTTCAAGTAACGAGTGCAAAAACTTTTCAAACTGAGATGATTTACATCGTTTTGCGAAAAAAGTCCTTTTTTAGCATCACCAAATGTCGAAAACAAAATTTTTGAGGTCTGCGTTTTCGAAGTCTGCAGTCTTCAGACTGAGTTTTCGAGGTCTGTGTTTTCGAGACACCCCTGTAGTAAATGTAAGAAATTAAAGTGCCCCTTAGGGGTATCTGAAAGATTTTGGTCCTTTAAATGTTAAACCAATTTCTTCCTCTACTGTGCCTTTTTCATTAAGTTATAATGATGTAAGTTTTGAAGTATCAGTTCATCAATAGCTTTCAGAACAAGAACTATGAATATTAGTTTGCGAGGAGTTATTAGTATATGACAAACGGTCTCACATGAAAAACATGACTATACCATTTGTACTGGTCCGAACTTACCTTTTAATAGTAAGCTGACAAAATGGTGATCATATTGATGCCCCAGGCAAAGTGGTCTGCCATCTTCAACCGGAAATTCTGGTCGAATATTATTTTTTGACTTATTCCCAATCAAATCAATGCATGTTTCATAACGGTTTGCTGCAGCAAAGATAATAAATTCATCACCCCAAACACCATCTTTCTCCATGTTGGCCAAGTATTGATCCCATGTACTAAACTGACTGCGTTGCTCATCGTCTAGGAGTACATAAAGATCAGTTCTATCTGCCTGTATGTAGAAATTGAAAACCAATCATTTCCGTGAAGTGTTGTACATTACATCAATCGGCGCTATCTCAAGATTAAGACACTTTGTACCCCTTAGTACTCTAAACCACATTTACAGGTCACTTATCCAACCCTATTTGTTGTATGGTATAGTCACGTGGGGTCAGGCGGCAAAAATTCATAGAGGTAAAATTCTAATCCTTCAAAAACGAGCCCTTCGCTTAATGTACTTTGGTGACTACAGATCTCATGCAATCTCATTTTTAGTTTATTCTCGTTTTCTTCCTTTGGATATGCTTTACTTTAAATCAGTTGCCATCATGATGCATGACATATCCAGTAATTTGTCACCTTCTAAGATATCTAATTTATTGATCTTCTAACATTTATTGACCCTCTAACATATCTAACTTATCAAGCTAATATTCATCCCCATAAGACAAGATCATGTTCAAGAGGCGACTATTTTGATGAAAATTCAAGATTAGATATACAAAAAAGGGCATTTTCAAGAAATGGTGTTAGAATCTGGAATAGCTTGTCTTGTGAAGTGCGCCAGCTATCAAAATACAATTTTAAGAGTAAAATTCATGATTTCCTCCTCCAGAGACTCGAAAAATATGACGATTATATTGATTTGTCTACTTTAATAGCACAACTATAAGACCCCAGCTTGTTCTGTTCTCTTGCCGTATCTTAAATGTATTAATGTAGTTGTAATTTGTCTAGAATTTTGAATCTCTTGCTCTGTAAATCTTTTTATTTTATAATATACGTATTAAACACTGCCCGCCTCGACCAGCCTTTGCTAATTGCGGACAGTGCATATTTCTTTTGTAATATTGTAATATATTGTAATTAAACTGATTGTACACTGATAAGTGTTGCAACAAGAGCAAGGACTTAAGAGCCAGTGACCAATTTGCAAAGCAGCATACATTTAACAATTATTCAAAAAAGACAAAGTGGATATTGTTGAATAATCTCTAACATCTTGGGATCTTAAAGTTAAAAATGGCTGCCCCGTAAGGTGATTACATTGAAATATGACACAATCCTCAACAAATCAAAGCACAGCGCCACTACATTATTTATATTGTAGCCTGCGGTTATAAGCGCTGCGCACGCGCGTCGGGACTCTGTCTGTTCCATGTGCTCGCAACCGATTCAGGTTGTCGTAATTAAACCTCTGAGTTTACGTAGTGATTCCTTCTTTATTGGCACAGTCATACATCTCTTTACTCACCTGAGCAACTGTACTGCTTAATTTGATTCAAGAGTACTTTAAAGCTCTTCCATAATGCAAACCTGCATTAATTTGGGAAAATTAAGAGATGGCCAAAGAATAGACCTCTTGACGCTCGAAGTTATTGAGTGATCTGAATAAAGTTCTAAAGCTTCAGACAGATGCTACTCCCAGATAAAATTTAGTTACCTATTTCACTGCCAGATATATATTTAATACAAGTGAAATACCACATTTGTAGTCAAATTCGCGTGAACTTAATTTCATGATTGTGGTGAGAGAAGGGGATTTTTTTTTGTGATTTCAGTATGCAAAATATGAAAGAGACATTAAATTTTGAGATTCATACATTCTCAACTTATATATTTAATTCATTATATTTTTCAAAATGTCTTAACTTTTGATAACTGCACGAAAGATATTGACATAGGCTGTGGAGACTAAAACAGGCAAAGAACAGGATTACCAAGCAAGATGTTATAATCAAAGTGATAGAGCACAATTATCCATCTAACCAGGCTTCAATAGTTGAAGTGAAAATTGTTTAGGGGTAAACTGAAAAATTTACCACCATAAAGAGATGTAGAAAGTAAAGCTCAGAGGGTCAATCCAAGGCTTCAATAATTTTAAGTGGAGTTTAAATGGGATGTTTAAGTCCTTCAGGCTTAGGTATGTTACTAGCTCTTGTGTCAAGGAAATGGACTTCAAGTCATGTTATCATCAGAATATTCTTACCAATTTAAGGAAGTTATTGAGTTTCCTGGAGTTGAAGATTTTCATTCTCACATGGTTCAAATCAGGTCAAATAAAATCTTCGTCGGATGAATGAATCAATATTTGATGTGCCCATAAAAGGTTTTTTTGCCGCGAATAGTTCACTCAAAAATGTGACAAAAGTGCTTGACTTGACATTGAGAGTCAGTCATTGAAACACTGCAATGTTTAACATTGCTTGTATAAACACAAGTAAACCTACCCGTTTTGGGTTCTCCCTGAGATACCGAACTAAGTTTTTCCTCAATTCATCATGTTGGATGTTCTCTCCTTTGACAACATTAAGTTGTTCTGATAAAGCAAAGAAGAGGCAATTTCCTGATCCTGCATTCTCAGAAATTCTAAAGCCCCATTCTGATACAGCCTTCTCCAACTCCCTTCTTGGGCTGCTACCTTCGTAACTGTTGAGTTTACTTTCACTGATCATATCTTGCAATTGTTGAAGATTATTTTTGGAGGCTACTTTTACAGTTTCAGAACCTAAATAAAAACAAACATTTATGCTGTGAATAATTGATTCCCCAAAATTATCAGATATGTGGAGAATGATCAAAAGTATAACAAAATTATTGAATGTGACTGCATGCCTACATGAGCATATGCATCGATCATGTTTGCACAACTGGTCAGTATATTTTATACGTATCATATTAAAAGCATGATGTTTCCTGCATTTCCCCAAGTTACCTGTCATTTTTTTGCCTCCTACAGGAGGCAGTAGCCACAAAAGTAGAAAAAATGATTGAATAAATAGTTAGTAATACTAAAAGACATGCTATGAAGAAATGTGGCATTGAGAGATGTTAAAGTGTCTCATCCCCACCCACCACTTTCCAAGAAGTCTTACTTATACTTTTTTAAAAACTGAAAATCATTCAAAAGGCAAGTCAGTCACCTAGCACTTCAACAACGACAACTAAGAGTTCTAGGAATACAATTTTCTGAATAAAGTATCAAGTGCTATCATAGCCTGGGTTTTCAAAGCTTGTACTTGAATGATCAAGGAGATCAAGTTGCAAAAAGTGACTGAACAGCCAACACTTTTTAAACCAACAAAAACTCAATAAGCACACAAAAGGACATTTATGAGACATAATTTCACCCATTTCACTAACTTCATACTGCTTACTGGTATGATGATCTTCGCATGATGAAAGTGAAAAAGAAAGATGTTGTGAGTGAGAGATGTTTCAGATCTACAAATCGAACCTGTGTAAGTACTGCATGAGGCTGCTTACTAGAAGCTTAAATACAAGCCAGTCATACCAAACTAGTTTGAGTATTTTTGGTTTTATAATGGAGAGAACTGGCATTAAAAGAAACTGTACTTTGATACATTAACTTCGTTGTAAATATGTGCTTGAGTGATTAAAGATTGGTAGAACAAACAAACAAGAAACAATAAATTAACAAACTATTGGGCAGAATTTAATTGTATCATATAATTCTTTTATCAAAAATATTGTCCTTCATATTTTGCTTTAAAAACCTACTGGTGACTGACACCCTATTGTTAAGAACGTGACGAGAGCACTGGGCAGTTGTGATACATGCCATCTCACCGATTTCAATGAAACTTTGCCAGTTCAAAGGATCTACCCCAAAACTCAAAAGGGCAAACTGGTTTCTGCTTTGATTATTTCCGGGGAAGATAGACCCCCTACCCCGTTTTTCTAGGTTTTCACTGAAAAACGGCCTCAAAATAGGTAAAATGTAAGAAGCTCTTACTGCAACTGTATTTAACAAATTACTGTGATGGCTTACATACATATTGGTACATCCTTAATAAACGTAAGATACAAGTTTCAGTCGATTTGAATGACGGCTTGTTAATCAACAAAGCAGGTTAATAAATTAGTGTGTTTTTACACTTTTCGATTCACTCAGTTATTTGGTAACTTTGAGGTCAAATATCTCTCCTTGCCAGAAAGCTACAACACTAATTTGAACACTCCTTTCTCTTCCATTCTTTCATCTCTGAAAGTCATTAAGAAAATCTTTGGGCACTGCCATGTTTTTGTCTGGAATGCCTTTTGAAATCTGCCACTGTGAAAGCTTCTCTCAACTCGTAGTTACTAAAACAAGCAATGACCTACAATGACCTAAAACGACCTACAATGAGCTACTGTAAGATCCCTGTAATGACGTAAATGAAGACTCTAGAAAAAAGGCAAAAAAAAAAATGGAGACATGTGTGCATTAACGTAACGTGTTTGCTTTTTGTCTACTGAATAACAGGCCAAATGATAACAGAATTTGTAGCTTGGAGATAAACTTACGGTGAATTATAATGAGACATGTATAATGACGATAATGATAAAAAAAAATGCGAAAAAACCTTTGGCTTAAGATGTCTTTGAGGGTCTTATATAACAAGCCTCCCATAATTTCACACTATCATGAAGCTATGAGTCGTATTTGGCCTGTCAACACCTTTTACTCATTGCTATTTTCAGATCAAACCATTAACAAGGTCGAGTTTGACTAATGGTCGTGAGTCGTGGGTCGTGGGTACTAGTCGTGGGTCGTGGGTGTGGGTGTGGGTGTGGGTAAAAGTCGTGCGTGTGGTTTATACTTAATAATAAAAATAACCATTTAAAATATTAAATATAATAATACATAAATTTTATACAACCCTGTCATTCATTAATTTAACTGTTCTTTCTTCTAGTTGTTTTATTTTGTTTATTCNCGTTTTTGAGGTCTGTGTTAACGAGACACCTGAGTTGCTTTGTACGATTGTACCAAAAATGATTTCATATAGTAGAAGTACTTTAACGTGAAAACAGATATTCCGAGATCTCGTCTGATAACATCAATGACAAAAGAGAGATAGATAAATCTGGTAATTACACACTGTATACACAAAGGAAAACTGATTGCGCACAAGTGGACTGACTCAAAAGGCACACACATAACCTCTGCAAGACTGGTACAGCTCGACAGTGGAAGATCGTAAATGCGATATTTTTGATAAGAATTCAACTCCAATGTTTACATAGCAGTTTCGCTTACGCATTCCGTGATCTCGTTTGATAACAAAGGGAAGAGAGAAGATAAATCTGGTAATTACACACTGTGTACACGTTTTTCGAGGCATGGGTATTCGAGGTGTGCGGTCTGCGGTCTGCGTTTTCGAGGTCTGTGTTAACGAGACACCTGAGAGAATATTGTTTTGTACGATATCACATGTACGTTTCATTGTTCACCTAGAAGTATTGCATTACTACTTGTGTGCCCCGGGTTTAAGTTTTCCTGTTTTAGTGTTATTTAGTCCTTATGTCAGCCAAAAGAACTTACGCAGAAGTTGTATTGGGAGCTGAGAATACTCCAGATGACAACCAAACCTGGATGATAGCTTACCAGCAGGAAAGCGAAGAAGATGCCCTGAAAAAGGCCATCCAATTAAGCAAGGTATAATCATGGTTATGTATTTTCACTGTACAGAGGCTGGTTCATCCAAGAATTACCAGTCGGTAGGCTCGTCGGTCAGCCGGACAGCTACAAAATAAACACATTTCTGGGAAATACAGTCAAACCTCCCGTAAGGAGGGGGCTTTGGAATTTTCTGTTTTACGGTTTTGGCTGTGTTTTGGATCGGATTTTCGCTTTTTCTGCCAAAAAAGTTGGGTTTTTTTTTCCTTGTTCGTTTTTTTCTCCTGTTGCTTACGGGAGGTGGTCGCTTACCAGAGTTCATAACACGATGGGTCAATATTTTGCCTCATTAGCATATAGTAAGTTCAGAGACATACCCCATGCGCCAATACCAATCTAAATCTCGTATAATAACTTTCAGTAGCCACAAAAATATTTAAGCTTTCAAAAATATTCATTCAGAGTTTCGTAGTTTGCTTCTCATAAACTACCTAATACAGCGAACGGAACAAGTCTCACGATAGTCACAAATTGTACCTTAAATGTTCTCCAAACGTTAGGTGGAACTGAGCATAAACTAAGGAAAAATTTCCTCATAATCCACTATCCACTAGTGCGATTAGGCCCATTACTGAAGCCATTTTAGGTCATTTCTTTCAACATATTTTGAGTACAGTGTACTGTATGTGCATTTTTTTTTTTACATTTCAAGTTTATTCTTGTAAAAAGTCAGTAGTACGCTTGGGAATGCTGGTCGCAACCGGAGATTCCACTGTAGTACCCTTGCCTCTCTAGCTAACTCAACACTTGCGGCTATCTTATTCTTGTTTCAGAATGACTCAATAAGTGATAGCAGCAACGAAGACTGGTCCATTGTCCAAACTCCTGGATTTGGCAATAAAGGAAACAGTGGACAGGATGGATCGAGTTCTTCTGGTTACATTCCTGTAATCGATTTGACCGAAAATCCGTCGCCAGCGAAAATAAAACAGACAAGGTAGGAGCAGTGTCATTTAGAACCAATTTATTGTGCAGTACTTATCTGGAAAGAACTACGTAACAAATAAATGGCGCTACCAGTTACTTCTACATCGACTTCGGAGTAACCGTGACGGTAAAGACGGCGAGTTTCGCCAAAAATATAAGGCACCTCGTACTTAATGATGTACACATCCAGATTCCTATCAAAAGAGAGCATTAGCCCAAATTAAACGAGAGAGTGCCGTTAATAGAAAAGCTTTTTATCTTCGCCTTTTCCGGGCTTCAACACAAGCGTGAGAAATTAGAAAGCCATGACGTCATTCTTAGAAACAGGTTGATTGTCATGGTTTCCAGACAACCCTATGAAGACAAAAGAACATGCCCTCTGGCTTTCCCGCTCCCCCATTCCATGTAAATACAAGAGTGTTACTCCACGTTCTTTCTTGTTGTTTTTTTGTTGGGTTTGCAGTTGAGTCATTGATTTCCCACAACTTGCATTGTTTCCATGAACAAAAACTTCATTCTATCTGTGTCCACTGTAAATAGGGAATCCTCTACGGACTCAGAGACAAGTGATATCGAGGGGAACCCAGACAACATTCTCAAACAAGTCAAACAAAGAAAGTTTGATCCTGGAATGTGGGAGAGTGCTTTAGTTTCAGAAGTGGAGAAACTTCCATTGGGCATAGACGGTTTGGTGAAATATACCATCGTAAGAGCCAGAACGTCCAAAGAAATAAGCGCAGCTTTGCTAGCAGATGGTCGGAAATGGAAGAAAAGCAACGTCACACAATAGAAACAATATGGAGAGATGCGGTATGCAGACTGTCGGGGCTCTTTCAAGTGCATCAATACTCAGTGTCCTTTTCGTGTTCAATTTGGTGTCACAAACAAAAAGCAATTTAAAAATGTTTCAAGCAGCCATCATGAAATACCATCATGTTTGCGTGTTAATTTCATTGTGATGGTAAGTGGCAATGACAACACTTCCCAGTCTTATTTTCTGGAGAAATAACGCAATTCAAGTGAGACAGCAGAGTTTCTCATCATCCACTGTATGTAAAAGCTGAAGTTGTTGTACTCGGGAAGTTGTATGTTGACAATTAAGCATGCAGCATGTGACTTTAAAATCTCCCCTCCTGTTACAATCTCTTGATTGTAAACTGTGATGATAAAAAATCATATCAAAGACTAATAAATGTTTTTGGCCGTAATAAAGCCATATTTGCCTATTTTTAGCAAATCTCCAAAGTAAACGACAGAAGGGAGAAACAGTACGATTCTCCCCTCAATATTTCGCCTACATGCTTCTCTTCAAACATGAAATTTCCATTTTCTATTAAGAATTTGGAAAGTTGATTATATTTCGTAGCTTCCTCGATAATTTATCTCGTTTAACGAGCTATAAAATGATGGTATACTTGCCTAAATAACTCCCTACAGCTAGAATTGCGTGACAGGTGTAGTTGAGAGAAGCTTTCACAGTGGCAGATTTCAAAGGTCATTCCAGAAAAAAATATGGCAGTGCCCAAAGATTTTTATAATGACTTTAAGAGATGAAAGAATGGAAGAGAAAGGGGCGTTCACATTAGTGTTGTAGCTTTCTGGGAAGGAGAGATATTTGACCTCAAAGTTACCAAATATTTGAGTGAATCGAAAAGTGTAAAAACACACTAATTTATTAACCTCTGTTGATTGACGTCAATGAAATCGATTGAAACTTGTATCGTACGTTTATTAAGGATGTACCAATATGTATGTAAGCCGTCATAGTAATTTGTTAAATACAATTGCAGTAAGAGCTTCTTACATGTTACTTATTTTAAGGCCATTTTTTTAGTGAAAACCTAGAAAAACCGGGGGGTGGTCTATCTCCCCCCGGAAATAACTAAAGCAGAAACCAGTTAGCCATTTTGAGTTTTGGGGTAGATCCTTTGAACTGGCAAAGTTTCATTGAAATCGGTGAGATGGCATGTATCACGACTGCACGGTTCTCTCGTGGACACGTTCTTAAAACACATGCATGATTGATACAAACTCAGACACATCAATAAAAATTATGGAAAAGGAAAGTTGCATACCTGGAGCATCTAAGATATCACTCTGATGAGAACTGTCTATGTCTTTTGGATTCATCCCTTTACAATCTGCTGAAAGTATTCCAAGGTGGAAAAGGAAAGGATAATTCAAGTGTTATAAATCTAGACTACCAGTTCATTTTACCAAATAACAAGAAGTTTAAAAATAATTAACCCTTTCACTCCCAGAAGTGATTAACATTTAACTTCTCCTAAAAGATCCATACATGATCCAGCAAAAAGGTGGTGAGAATACTCAAATTTATTAGGTAGAAGTTGTTACCATGATTGAGCACCAAATTCTCATAACCAATTAACAAGGAAATGTGTAGCAGCTAGAGGGGAGAATTAACAATCAGATCTTGGGAGTTAAAGGGTTCTAAATTAATAGCATGCAAATTATCATGGTTATAATACTTCTTTCAGAGATCAACATGACATCTTATCAGCAAAATTGAAGTTCTCACACAACCTTTCAAACACTTGAAGAGTTCATTTCTGTTTCAAGTTACAGTGTTTTTTCCTTATGCAGCAAGTTGTCAATTATCAGCATTACATTCATCTAAAACCCCTTTATTTTAGATTTATTTGCCTGCCTCAGTAGTGAATGCAGCAAAATTGTTTATATATTATTTAGTCAAAACTATAACAAAATTGTCAAATGTGATTGGTCATCATAACCAATATCTGGTTTCTTTTTCAAATTTCGTCATAGTCTTGATGAAAAGGTAAACAGGACTTCGTGTCATCCCATTCTGTCTGTAGTCATACTTGCGATTTACATATCAGAGTTTCACTTCTTGCTCATATCCTATCTTGTTAATCCCTTGTATGATTTTGGACCAAATAAGATTCCAGTCAGTCCCATTACCATTATCAATCAGAACAGTAACAAAGTTCTTGAACATGATTGGTTACATCCATTAAAAGCTCCACAATTCAGCTTAGATTTATTTGGTAGCCTTAACTGGACTTGTTACAAACATTAACTGTATAGGCAATAAAATTTTGTTGTCTTCTTTAAATAAAAGGCAGTCTATGACTGCATGTGCCTATTGTTGTGTAGTTGTTGAGTATTGCAATAAAAAAGCAGTGTGGTGTAAAATGTAGAGGGGATAATGGACAGCTCTTGTCAATGCCAAACTTAAGACAAAAGGAGGACTTGACCGGCTGGGAACAGGGCAGAACATTTTGATAGAATAGATACACGACACTGTACTAAATGTGCATCATATTCATTTTAATTCAAAACTTTGCCACATCATATGCTCTGTGTACATAGCACTATGGATAAACCTATTCCTTTCAAGTCCAAAGGTATAAGGTTCGAGCCCTGGCCGTGCCCCCCTTTTTTGTTTTCTTTTGTTTTGTTTTTTTCCTTTTTTCCCTTATAATTTAAATTCTTCTTCCCAGGGTATGTTTGATGTGGTCAGACTAAATGTTTGACATTTAATGATGTACGTAGCTTGTATGTTCAAATGGACAACAATGTCAAACTGCAGAGGTACATGAGGCCCTGAAAAAGATTTTCACTAAACCCAGAAATAGGTCTGCGATGCATACCTGTGTGGCTTATGAAATTGAGCCGGCTTTTAATGTCTGGTGTCTTATTGAGTTTCTATTAGAAGAGCTGATATCTGATTACAGCTAGATAGTTCTCAATATTGTTCCTGTTCATCAATAAAACAAGATAACTAGCATACAAAAAGTCCTGAAATGTTCATTTTCAAGATGAAGGTTAAAGGCCAAACTTTGTAATTGAGGTCTCATTTTGACAATAAACACCCCAAGGATGCACATGTAACCTGAGGATTTTAGGAACTAAAAGAAACGTCAGCATCATCTCCCATGGTGGCCTGATAGATTCAGTCATGATTTTGTTTATGTAACGAGGTGGAATTAAGTTCTGAAATTTGTAGGTTGGTTGTCTTCTCCAAGGCAAGTGATATGAAAATATCTCTAAGGAAGCATTTCATATGAATATTTTTAGTATTTTGTGTACCAGTACATGAGGAACAGGTACAAAACTTTCGAGAAGGGCTGGGACATTTGGGAAATGATGTAATCTACACTAGAAGCCATTGGGAGCTTGATTTGGTTTGAATGTATGACTAATTTGGAACAAAATATACATGTAAATCTAACTGGTTTCTATAGTGTGATTTATTGTTGCTGAGCCTACCAGTAGTTTACATTTATACTTGAGTTATTACTCTTGCATTAGTGATAAATGAAAATGGCACCTAGCTAGCTGTTTTCAGCCAATCAAGAGTATAATTTTTCATGTATATCAGTATAGGGATGAATTAACCAAAACCAAACAAGAAACCAAAAAAAGAGTTGTTTAGTAGTCTTCCAAACAAAGGCCTTATACACATGTATTGCAACTTAGATATCAGTGCTCATCTGAACCATGAAGAGAATTTAGAATACTGCTGAGTTTACAGGAAGTCATGAAATGTTAAGGTCTGAATAATTCTGAGCATTTAACTTGGAAAATATAATACTGATCACATTTCAGTTGAAACATTAAACTACTAGGCTCCTATAAGCAATGGAATATAGGCCTTGTAGAAAATCATTTGTGAAAACCAAAACATCACATCACTCCACATTTTGCATTGTCTAACAACTTGTTTCAATACTTGCAAGTAAAATACTTGTGTTATGGAGAGCCTGGTGTTACATAATCACTAAAAATAAAACTGAAGAACCTTCTAGAACCCTTAGTCAGCATATTTTGTTATCATAACGATGTAACAGTAATGTAATATTCCTAGAAATAGTAGTATTACAAATCCCTAGGATGTACGTTCTAGAACATTTTGTAAAATATATTTAAGGAGTTGCAATCATTTAAAGTTAGGCCCTTTTAGTGAGTTAATGCTATTGCGAAGAGCCCAGAGGAGCTAGTGTTGTTACTGGAATTGTCAGCCGTGTGGAAGGCTATCTTGGGAAAAGTATTGTGGACTCGACAAGTTACAAGGACCTTTGTGGGAACAGTGAGTTGTGCAGTAGTGCACTGAGGTTATAGTTTTATAGAGGGCTCTAGGATAAGGCATTAGTTATTGTATTGGTTATTGGTATCGCTCCATTAACCCATTAACGTCCAGTGCGCCCGTATGCGCCCATGGGGACCCACACCCTTTCTACGCCCTGTGACGTCATCAATTTTAACTCTGGAGCACGAATTCGAGCATGTACTTGAACGGGTTGAAAATATCTTGCAGACGATACCAGAATGAGCGCAATTGAGTGGAGGAGATTGGAGAAATAGCCAAAAAACCGTGTCACTTTGACTGGAAAATCTGCACGAAGATCGTGTTTCACTACCCACCTACCTTTCCGAGCATGTGCTTTGAAAATAATGAGTAGTTTCTGAAAAATCTCTACACCAAAATGAAGCCTACTCAATTTCCAGCAAGTCAGGAGAAACTTTAGGCAAGGAGAGGGGAAAAAAAGGGCAGGAGAAAGAGAGAAAAGTAGAAGTCGTAAGTGGGGCGTGACTTTTCAAGCCAAAAACTATGTCCAAATTTTGCTCTCTGCGCGTGCCCGAGATTTTCAGGCCGCCATTTTGCATTTGGATCGAAAGGCCGTCGAGGGCACGAGCTGTCAAGTGGTTTTTGGTAAGTTCGAGCTTTTAAAACCCCAACAGTGACCCGAAATCTGCTGGACTAGCTTCAAAACACAGTTTTCCACAAAAGCTGCGGCCATTAATGGGTTAATTACGTCAGTCAGTAAAGTGGTTGAGTTAGTATGAGTTGTATCTTTCTAGCAGTTTAGAAAATACTGTAACACATGCATACTCCAGAAATGATCCTTAAAACATAATAAGTTATCCTTTGTTTTCATGAAATTGTCATGAGAGCCAATCCTTGACCGGTATTGTTCAATCAACTTATACAGTAAAGTAACACTCAATGCAAAATCTACCAAATCGCTCAAATTCGCCATTTAGAACCACAGAAACGACAATAAACAGCAAGTGAAGTAGGTTTACATTCATTTTGAGCCTTAACATAGACGTCCCTTGACATAAGTTTACGATATTATGACCCTTCAATATTCTCCCATACATTTCTTTATATTTCGAACCAATGACCAAACACGCCGCTTGTGTGGGTCCCCTGTGGATTCCCGTACTTACTTTTGTCGTTCTAAAACAATTGCCTCCATGAATTCTCGACAGTGCAAGGAGAATGCGGCTACAACACAACTTATTCCACTTTATAACACTTTCAGAAGGTTGCAGACACTTTTAAACACTTTCAGACACTCAGTGGTGCCCATCACCAATAGATCAAACCAATGGTTGTTGGCTTGCATGAGTGCAAATGACTCTTTTCAGTGTAGTGCAACCCATACCGAAGATTCAGGCAGTTAAATGTTGTCTTTTAAGAATGTAAAAGCTCTTGCACAAGCTGCAGTTATAACACAAGCTGGGTCTGGGTGTGTTGACTTATGTGAGGAGCACTTACCCTCGTGATACAATCACCAGAAAAAAATTACTAGAGAGCACACTTACAACCAAGATGGCTGACTCAGACTAGTGCACTGTACGACACTAGACCACATGACAGGCGCTTGACTCTCATGGACAAATAAAAAAATAAACAAATCAGATCGTGCCATAATGTGGCTACACAATTTGGGTAAGCCACACAAAAATTAGTAAAAATAAATGCGAAGAAACCTGATCAGATTTGTTGAACAATGATCAGTGTCAGAAATGAACCAAGGAGATTCACAAGAGATTACAAGTGTCTCCCTAAAGCTTGCCATTTTTAAAACTGCCAGGGGCTTGAGGCAAGGTTACAGACTTACACTACAACATAACATAGTGCCTATGGCTGAGAGTTGGCAAAAAAACTGCAATTTGACTCCAATTTGACCTTTAGTTTGTGGGGTTTGACTAGGTGTCCCCTACACAAGCTGATTTAAATTTTTATCTTTTCTTATTCAAAGTCAAATACCTGTCAGTTGATCAGTCCCTTTTAAAAATTCAAATTCATGTTCTTTTACAGATTTTTGGCAAAAACAACTGATACTAAACATAATATATATATCATACACCACTATACTATTTTTCACTTTTGTTGAAAAAGGCCACAAAGACTTAAATATGACCAATATAGAAGAATATCTGCATGAATTTTCTTTATCCTTTAATTGCCACCTGAGGCAGATGAAAAATAAAAGTATCACATACATGCTGCATGGTAAATTGGATTCTCCAAAACAAAACTAATTTGAATTCATTCATTTATCAGATAAATATTATAGTTATCATTAATGGTTCATTCTTGTTGTGATCATGGCACTTTATTGGCTAGAGAACTTTTGGTAACTACCTTACACAAATTTCTAAGAAATGACACTACTAAAAAGGATAATTTGGAGTAATTAGGGTGTACAAATACAGTGGAATCCCAATTTCTCAAACATCCAGGGGAAATGCAAATTGGTTTGAGAAATTGGGAGTTCGAGAAATCGGGAGTTCAAGAAATCAGGGGTGAAATTACAAGTGAAGCAAATCCAAGGGAAACAAGGTTTGGTTTGAGATATCGGGAGGTTCGAGAAACCAAGGGTTTGAGAAATCCGGATTCCACTGTAACACACAATGAAAATTACATACCAAGAGAATCTTTAATATCTGGTTTCACAGTATTGTTTTGGTTTTCACCATTCCCACTCTCACTTGGATCCATGTTTATCTGATCTGTTGCATGAATACCATTAAAAAAAGAATTATTATATACATGCTGATAAATTGGATTTTACAAAACGAACCTTAACTTTCCCTCATTTATCAGGTAGATTACTGTAACCATTACAGTAATAAACATAATCCAAGAAACACTCTTGCTTCCACATGATTGGTCAAAGTGCATCACATGACCAAATATACCCCAACTAAAATGGGGGATATCCAGGGATATACCCCAGAAATATTCCCCAATTTTCAAACCTTACCTCCAATAGAGAAAACTCTGCTTAAAAATTGAATTCAAGATGAGAAGGCCTTTGGTGATTGTGAAAAAGGAACACGCTTTTTTGTTTTGTTTTCTTCTTTTGTGAACAGCCTACACCATAAACAGTAAGCTGTTCGTAAACATTTTTCCTACACATGAGATTATTATAGGATAATAATCACAAAATAGCCTCCATTTGGCACAAAAATATGCTTGAATATCTGTTCTTGAACATTATGTGTTCCTCCAAGTTCACAGTTTTCCTCGAGCTTCCCTCTCAGAAAACTGTTTTTATCTTGGAACAGACAATGTCTGCAGATAAATATCTAAGCATACTTTCATGCAAAGTGGAGGTTATTGTTTATTAAATGATTTGTTCTTGTTGTGATCATGACACCCTATTGGTTATTAAATGACTTTTGGTCACTGCAGTGCTTGTTCCTCCCACTGTTTGGTATTTTAATTGAGTATCATAATTTGCTCAGCAAGACTGTCACTAAAAGAGAGATACTTAAAGCGCTGAAACTTTGTCATGATCTTGGAGGGTGAAGACGGCAAAATAAACAATATAAACAAATCTCTATGGGTCTAAGAGTTAAAAAACATTTTAACTCACCAAGCACTCTCTGTGTTATGAAGTAGGGAATAAGTTGTCCTTCATCATCCTCTCTCACCACACCAATGACACATTTGTCTTTAATGATAGGTGATCCAAGAACGGCAGATTTCTCGATGGCACAGTTCTTCCCGTCAAAAGAACGAAGTTCATAGCATTTCTTTCCTTGGTTGTAGTTGAAATAAAACTTCAGGGATTTGTTCCTTCCGATGAATGACTGTGCACAGACGTCATTACTAATTACGACACTATCTGGAACATTCAACGTGAGTACATCGCCACGCTGTAGACCTTCCACTGAAATAAACAAACACCTGCCTGCTTTCTTTATCTGTGATATCGTTAAGTTTATTATCGAAAAGGTTTTCGACCTCCGATTAAAAATCACTGACTTCTTATTGATAAGGCCACGATCGCCCTCGTTAAAAACACCCTCCCATGTTAGCAAGCCCTGCTTCTTTCCCGCATCAACGGCACATGCCATTCCTCTTGTTTGGTAGATGGGAAGACTATGGACAACGTCTCTCACTGCAAAGATGGCTTTATCGGGGTTTTTTCCTTGGGTATAATCCATCGTCTGAATGCTCAAACTGCGGCCTCGTGAACTCCGTAAGATTGCACAAGCTCTTAAAAGTGCTGTGGTAAGGCTATGTTGTCAATCTCTCTTAGCGCAGTATGTTTCAGGTGTATCCTTGGATATTTGGTGTAATTACCCGATTGGTCAGATACCGTGAGATTCTGCCTCGTCATCATACGCACTACGAAGTCACATGAGAAAGCACCAGCCGCTCAAGTGGTCAGTGCACTTCCCGCCTTGCTCGAGTCGGTCACCTAAAAACACAGGCGCGGTGTAAGAACAGTTAATTCGAAAAATTTTCTCAATTTAGCCGTGAGGTACATTAGAAGGTGTCTACGTACCAAACTGGAAGCAAAACAAATCGTCAATAGAGCCGAAAATGACAGAATCTCAACTTGCTGAAAATGGCGCTGCGCCAAGCAACAGCGAGTCGGCCATCGTCGCGGCCATCAGTTCCATGAGCGAGCTGCTAGTTTCTTCCATCACTTCACTGAAGTTTACCATGACTGAATCCCTCGGTCAGATGAAGGACACCATTGACCACCTCGCAATCGAGGAAGGTTCTTTAGAGGAAAATGCTGAAACTGAAGAACAGCTAGAAATAGCCGCCTACATGGACCAACGATCCACACAGCAGTCGGACAAAAACCAGCAATCTGGGTCCGCAGTGTCAAATAGTGGGGCTAAAAAGCCTACAAGTTCTCAAACAACTGAGCAGAGCATTAACACTCTGATAAATCAGAGCTCTGAATCTCAGCGTGATGTTCCTGATGGGGAAATTGACCTACTGTCAGGCATTGCGAACGATCTCAAACTTGATCAAAAGAAGGCTCCTGCTATAAATGAGCAGATCGCCAAAATTGTCCATGGCTTAATGAGAGAAAAGCTTACGGACGAAGTTCTGACGGCGACACAGAATCGCTATAATACGCCAGAAAACTGTGAATGTCTCACCAGCACGAAGGTCAACCATCTCATTTGGGATNCCATGTTCTACCACGTTCACCCTCATCTACCCTAGTTAACCCATGTTCTACCACGTTTACCCCCATCTACCCTTGTTTAGCCATGTTCTACCACGTTCACCCTCATCTACCCTAGTTAACCCATGTTCTACCACGTTTACCCCCATCTACCCTTGTTTAGCCATGTTCTACCACGTTCACCCTCATCTACCCTAGTTAACCCATGTTCTACCACGTTTACCCCTATCTACCCTACGTAACCCATGTTCTACCACGTTCACCCTGATCTACGCTGGGTAACCCTTGTTCTACCACGTTTACCATCATCACCCATGTTGTATCGCGTTTACCCCATTCTACCCTAGGTAACCAATGTTCTACCACGTTCACCCCCATCTACCCTAATTAACCCATGTTCTACCACGTTTACCCCCATCTACCCTCGGTAACCCATAATCTACCACGTTTACCCCCATCTACCCTAGGTAACCCATGTTCTACAACGTTTACCCCCATCTACCCTAGGTATCCCATGTTGTACCACGTTTACCCCATTCTACCCTAGGTAACCCATGTTCTACCACGTTCACCCCCATCTACCCTAGTTAACCCATGTTCGTGGTAGATGCATTGTTTAGCATCATCCAATCAGCGTGGGGCAAACAGCGTGACGGTTGCTCCTTGGCACACGAAATCGGGGCCGCGGATGCTGATCGCTTCGAAAGCAGCATTTCTCGAAAATTTTTTGGCGGTTAGCGCTTTGATTTTGAATGGACCTTCGATTGAATGCGACGAGAAGAAGCGTCAAACTTTCAGTTTATCTGGTTTTCGATTTGGAAGCCGGGCGATTCTTATTTCTGGGTGAAAATCGGCTTCGCGCTAGAGCGGTCGAAAATGAGCTTTCCACCCTTTTCTCCTTCTTATAACCGCGTATAGTGTAACAGTCGACGCAAAACCCACCAAATCGCTCAAATTCGCCATTTAGAGCAACAGAAATGACAATACACAGCAAGTGAGGTAGGTTTACATTTATTTTGAGCTTTAACTCATGATATAAGTTTACGATAATAAGACTCTTTAATATCCTCCCATACATTCCTTTATATTTCGAATAAACAACCAGACTCGTCGCTTGTCTTGGCCCCCTGTGATGTATCTAGGACGAGTGTGCGAGAGAATAAAGGTAGCGTGGCAATGCGGATTCCGTGTGGTCTATAAGTTCCCTACAAGATACTAAATTTGGCGACGAGTGGTAGATTTTATACAAACATATTCGGCCGCGCTAAATTAAAGACTTTTCGAGGCCTTTGCTCGGATCGTTGACGACACCGGTAAATTTTGGATTCCGGCAGCTCTACTTTGCTCCCGATGCTCATCTCCGACATTATGCACATGCTTGGCTCTTGGCCTGCCTTGGAAAGATTCAAGAATTTCCCTCTTCAGCTCTAGAACCTTTTCAGTTGCTCGTTGATATTTCAGCAGCCGCTTCTAACACACAGCTTTGCATATAAACAACTTGCTGCTCGCATAGCAGCTGATATCGAAGTCCAACGAAGATCTTATTATTTCCACAAAGTTATGGGTACTATTTCCGAAAATAAGTACCCTTTCTTGGGCTGCTGAAGGCGAATAACACATGAAACACTTTGAGATTTCCTCCACAACGTTTTTCGGCGTTTCACTCGCCATACCATGCGGCTGAAAGGAAATCTCACATAAACTTCGCTCGAAAATTGCATCACTCGCAGTACCCTGACTTAATTGGTTGTTTGAAACACAATGGGAAGCCGTTTCTTTCGAGGGAGCGTTGCGTGACATCCCGAAAGACGGCTGCGAAGGAGACTAACGGAACCCTTGATAGGATTACAGACTGCCGAAGGTCTTGGCCCGGTGGTGATTACGAATGCAATACGAACTGATCCTGAAATGTTCACGAGCAAATTACTTGAGAAATACGCAGATCTGTTCCAGGGGATAGGGAAAATGGAAGGAGTGCAGGTATAGATCTACACGTTTACCGTACAGTAGCACCAGTTGCTCAACCTCACAGGAGGATCCCGTTCAGCGTAAGGCCAAAACTGGAGAGACTTATAAGGGATGATGTAATCGAGAAGGTCGAAGAGCCTACCAGTTGGGTATCCCCATTCGTGATTACACCCAAGAGAACGCCGAATGAAAAATTCGACTGAACGTGAATATGAGAGAGGCCAATAAAGCCATTTCGCGGACCCATACTATTACGCCTACTCTCGAGGATATCACACATGAGCTCAATGGAGCAACTGTTTTCTCCCACTTGGATATGAATCATGGCTATCATCAACTGGAACTGCAAGAGAACAGTCGGGACATCACCACATTCTCAACGCACATCGGGTTGTACAGATACAAAAGGCTAAATTTTGGCACGAGATCCGCGGGTGAAATCTTTCAAGACACCGTGAGCAGGGAGATCACCCGAGACATACCTGGATGCCTCAACATCAGTGACGACATTCTTGTGTACGGAAAAACACAACAGGAACATGATCGGAATCTAGACAAATTATTCAAGAAGGCTAGAGAAAAGAAGATCACGTTTAACAAGGGAAAGTGTGAATTCAATAAGCAAAGTTGTGTGTATTACGGGATGAAGTTTTCTAAAGATGGAGCATCCCCTGACCCGCGAAAGGTTGAGGCTATCAAGGCGGCCGAGCCTCCTCGCAACGCGAAGGAACTGAACTCATTCCTATGTACAGTGCAATACAACGCGAGATTTATGGAAAAGTATGCTCCTCAAACCGA